GGCAAGATATGTTTACTATAATTCTTCAGGACACACCCAGAAAGAATAAATGGAAGCTGAGAGCTCGACTCAATAAGCAAGTATCTGACTACTCTTTTCCCCTCTGAAAAGTAGCGGGTTTTCTGGAGTTGTCATTGCTTCCAGTGCACATTTTCCTGCTTTAAGAAAGGAAACTGGGAGGCCCAGAATATTTCAGGGATGTTTTGGAGATTCTGGAATGAATCTATGCTCCCCAGTACTCACTTGAAGAACTGCATCCCTCTCCTCATCAGAGACACATTTCATGGCTGCCTTCTTCAGGTTTGTCTGCACATAGTTATCATATTCTTCTTGTACTTTTTTAACTTCCTCATTTCGCTTACATATATATTCAGGAATAATGCCATAATCCTAAAAGGATTTTGAGAAAAATATTTAAGATGATCACCATACACATGTCAATCTGTTTTCCCTTTGTCAGCATGCTATCAAAATCCTCAGTCTTGTCATCTGTAAAAGGAAAGTATTAGGCTAGGTGAACTCCAAGGTCCATAAACGACTGAGAAGAAAATTAAAACATTGTTGAATTTGCTGTGAAATATCTTAAAGACTTAATTTTTCTTGTTTGATTCTAGCCCTTGTTCAAAATGGTATCTCTTGACTAAATTATTTTCCCCTCATTTGGGCCATCTGATTCCAGTCTTTAAGAGAGTAGAAATGACTACACTATTTTTCTCTGATATCAGCTCTTCTTTATTGTCACCTGGTTGGCTCACCCCTGCATTGTGCATGGACAATTAGCTTACCTAACAGATTGAGCTCCTTTTGACCATGCCATTACCCACAAATGCACTACCTCTATGTTCAAGAATTCTGAAATCCCCTTATCCAATCATAATCTATTGGCTTTTTCACCTCTTTTCCCTTGCCTTTTCTGACAAAACCCTACTCTTCATCCATATTATGTCCTCTGATATCTTGACCCTCAATTTTCTCCTCTTTTCCCACCTTGCCTCCTCTACACTGTCCTCATCTCTTGAATCCCTAGGCCCTTGTATTACTGATTATACCCAGCCAAGTTTCAGCGTTGGATCACTCCTACCATACTCTCTCTTCATTCCTACTAGACGTGCTGCTGAACAAAGATGGAGAAAATCATACAGCCATTCTGACTCTATCCACTACAAATTTGTGTTATACAACCTCAACTGGGCCCTGTCTGCTGCTAGACAATCCTACTATACCTCCCATGGCTCCCCTTACTACATATAATTTGCTTTGTATGCATTTACTTGCATGTTTTCTCCCCCAGTAGATTGTAAGTTCTGGGAGGGCAAGGACTGTCTTCTGCCTCTTTTTGTATCCCCAGTGCTTAGCATAGTGCCTGGCACATAGGAGGCACTTACTAAATGTTTATTAACTAATTGTTTCTTCACATGAGTTCTACCCAAACGAAGTTGTTTTGCTTTTAACAATGTTTCGATGCTAATAGACTGGATGAATCCTAGCACTTTGGTCAAGACATCAACACATCAATTATCCTTGATATTACCCATATGGGCTCTCTATCCAGTAATGCACATTACAAACAATACATGAATTCTCCTCCTGTGCAGCTCTTCTCCATGTTTTCCCATAAATTTGTAGCAGGTGAACAACAAAATGTCTTTTCTTAGGCGTTTTAATATTCTGTGTTTATCAAAGGAGCCTTCAGAATCTCCATCTGTTATTATATCTTGCTCTTGCTACATGACTAACCAATCTCATTTTCTGGTCAAGTATAGTAGATGCTCTGGAGCCATTCTCCCAACTCACCTTTCTACTTGTACTGCAGAGAGAAAGGCTGCTACTCTTCTCTGAATGCTAGGTGACCCAGAGGACTGTCAAGGTATCTCTCTAATGCTATAGTTCATGAGCCCCTACCAGTATGCTTCTTCTATGACGATCAGTTGATATTAGTAAGCTTGATGCACATGAACAAGCATTTATTAAGTGCCTACTGTTATGTGCCAGGCACTGTGCTAAGGTCTTTACAAATATTATCCCATTTGAGTCTCATAACAACTCTGGAAGATAGATGCTATTATTATTCTATTTGACAGTTGAGAAAACTGAGGCAGACAGAGGTTAAGTGACTTGCCCAGGGTCACACAGATAGTAAATGTTTAAGGCTGGATTTGAATTCAGATCTTCCCAACTCTAGGCTTAGTGGTCTAGCTGCTGTGCTACCCTGCTGTCTCTTTCCTTCTTTCTTTCCTTCCTTCCTTCCTATTCTTCCTCTCTGTATATATATGCATATATAAAAATATATGCATATATATACACACACATATATACTATACACATATTGTGCCACCTCCCTACTTATATGCATATATGTATGTGTGTGTGTGTGTATATATATATATATATATATATATATATATATATACACGCAGAGAGACTATACACACAGACATACATCTCTTCTATGTATATGGTACTCCTCTTCCATTTGGAAATTTTATATTATATCCTCAATTAAAAAGACAAACACTTTTAGTAACTGTATTTCTCCATTTTATGCCTCACTTGACAATATCAAAGATAACTAACTTTATTTCAAACAAAGTTAGCTATTTCTATAGTTACATTTCTTAAAGAATCTTATATGAGCTTAATAAAAATACCAGGTTGGAAGAAAGTCTTTTACGGCAATGTTCTGCTGAACTAAGTGAAATGCTTTTTTATAATTATCAAAAGGTTGACCTTGTTAATTCATGTTTAATATAACAGATGATCCCCGCCCCCCACCCCACTGAGATGCTGCCTGTGACATCTATGGCAAATTCATATCTTGATGTTCCATTCTGTTTTTCAGTCTCCCAAAGACATGTCCTTGGTTTAGTTTTCAACTTTGTCAGTATATTATTGGGCTCCATCTTGTCAAGATATTAGACTTAAGTGGTAGCTTTCAACATGCATGCTAATGATTTTGTATATTTTGGCTGTATGTAGAATATGCACTTTGCTTTTGAAGCCCCCACTTCAGATAAACATAGTATTAGTGCCCTTAGAATATAGCTTTGATCTTTAGGACTATTATTTCTGGAAATTATGACTTTTTAAAAAAAAAGTCCATAACTACTTGCATGGATTTGGGGGTCAGGTCCTTATGTGTTCATGTATGTACTTTAAGAGTAAAGTCTTCAATATACATTCTGTATTACTACCTAGAATCTTCTGACAAAATTGTTAGGTGGGAAGACCTATGAGAGTTGGAAATAAATTCTGACAATAACTTCTGGCCTACTTGTTAATGCCTTGCCCATTTATCTACATTGCTACTACAATTTTGCATGTTATTGTTACAATGCACTAAACTGTACTTCTATGGTCTGTTCTTATATTTAACAATATACCTGAAAAATAAACTTGTGAATTTAGAAAGTATAGATGAAAGGGACCAGTGACAAATGCACAGATATTTTAATTTTTTCCTCGAGGAAAGCAGGCCATATAAACTTAAATCTGTTCACCTATGCATTTTTATTCTTCTCTTACAAAACTTAATCATGAAAATTATCTTTGAGATAAAGGCACACTATTTTTCAGTGTCGAGAGACAATGGAAATTTTGTCAAATATTCTCAGGGTCTTGTCCCCCTTCTCTGCAAAAACAAACAAACTGTCCTATTAAGTATGATAATTCTTTATTCCCCAGTGCATAACTTTCATACTGATGGGTCAAGTGGTTCCCCCATATTTCCATATTTCAAGTTGCATCCCCCATGTTTCCATCATTTTGCTCCTAAATTCTTGCAAAATGATTAATAAATTAGTAAAAAATTTTTTCACAGGTTTGTATTTTAATATTTATAATAGTCATAGTCTAATAGGAGGCTAATTAGAACTATTTAACAATTCATATAATTGGAAAGATGCCAAACAATTACGGCTTTCATTTACTCAACTAAGTATGGAAATTCAATTATGGTTCCCAATGATAAATAGATTCTATCATATATTTGGGCTAAATTCAGCTACAATGGAAGACTGACAGTGACTAGGCAGAAGGTCCTTTGATAGAACTTTTAAAAGAAAAGTTTTTTGAAATTGGGATTTCACCGTTGTAAAGGAATCTTAGTGAATAAACTCCCTCCATCAATGCAGGTCAGCAACTATCCTGCTATTCACTTGTCTTTGGGGCTACTGGGGATACTGAGAAGTTAAGTGACATAGCCAGGATGAGTCAGTCAGTAGTTGAACCCACAATTTCCTGACCCCCAAGTCTACCTCCTTCTCCATTATAACCCTCAAAGTATAACATATGTTAATACATGAAATAATTATTTATGCTAATTTAAAATGTTCATGAGTCTTAAGCCTTTAATACCATTTTGTCATAAGACTACCTTTTTGTTGATGTATTTTGGAACTAGTCCTGAAAGTTCCAGGCCATGTCTGTCTCCAGTCCTTCTGTCAACATAAATGGGTTTAGGCTTCTTGGCCACCCCCATGATGACAGCAGCTGCATTTGTGTTTATAAAGTTTTTTCCACTCTGAATTCCCATAATTGGATGATCACTCCTCAGTGGCACAGGAGGTTTTCTTACTTCATTCTTATCGGTCTTTTTGTCACCTAAACATAAAATTCCTTGTTGGTATTACAGACAGAAAACTATTAACACAAAGATTTTCAAGTATTTTAAAGGGAACAAACTAGAAATGAAAGATTTTCATGATATGTAATAAAATTAAATATACCGTAATAAGTCCATGTGTCAAATATAAAATATAAAGCATATGAGGTATGAAGATAAAGCAATAAAGTTTTTGTCATATATCTAATAACTGTTTTACTGGTAGCTAAGTGTTCTAAGAGAGAGAGCACTGGACTCAGAAAGACCCAAATGTGAAGGCTGCCTTGAACACTTACTAGCCTTGTGACCCTGGACATAACACATAATCTCTCTTAGGCTCAGTTTCCTAATCTGTAGAATGAGAATAATAACAGCACATAACTCAGGGATACTGTTAAGATCAAATGAGATACATGCAAAGTGACTGACAAACTGTGAAGTGCTGTATAATTGTTAGCTATTATTTTTAATTGAGATGTATAAAATAAAACTTCACATTCCCCTGTTTAAGTACTTTAAGAAGATGAATTTTTTTCAGGATTGTGGATGAAATGTGTTTTTTTTTAAATGTAATATTTGCTATGTCAGAGGAAAAGGGTCACAAAAGTCCACAAATAAACTGAACAGTTTTTAAACCCTTAACAATCCCAAACCACTTTATTGATGTAAAAAATACAACAGATATTCTTTCAAAGTGTCCTCATGTAAACATATACATTTGCCCTATAATTGTTAGGTATTTTAAAGGCTGTCTCCAAGCAGATTCATAAGGTTGCCATTTGGTAAATATCTCACTGACCTTCCCAATCTCCTTTTGGCTGATCCCTTCACATGCTAATTCTCTGGCCATTCTTTGAAAGTTTTCTTTTCCATTACCCATATTCTGTATCTTACATTCACTTGGCACTGTCTTTAGCAGTCAGCCCTAATAAACAGCCTTCTGGCAATTTTGTTCCACAAACTTGTATTAATGTGTAGTGTTAGGTGAGCTAGGGGTCAGCAGTGAGAGTACTGGGTTCAAATCCCATTTCTAAATCCTTAGGACCTGTGAATCACTTAACCTCTCTCTGCCCATAAGTTTGTTTGTTTGTTTTTTTCCCAGCTATAAAATGGTTTAAAGCAATCAAGTATTTATTAATGACTATTAAATGAGCAATGCTGAAAAAAAATACACAAATCATCTATTGCGGTTTCTTCTGCTAATCACTTAGATTTTCTCCTTTGCCCACTATCTTCCTTTACCCACCAATGTAAATTTCCATTTAGCCATTCTGGCTATTCAATGTAAATTTAAAATGTTTAATATTTTAAGTATTATTTTAATTTTTTAATTTTAATATTTTAAGTGAAACGTTAACATCTTACACATCTAACACACACATAATAGTCACCAGTATCTTAATATGTTAAACAATATTTACTTTACACTTTTAACATTAATACATGAAATAGGTGTCACTTACTGAGTGGCGGCTTGGGTGGCTTTGAACGTTTCTGCATAAAGTCTTTTGGAGAAGGCACATCAACTTTTGCTGGCCCCATGGTTTTCCATGCAGCTTTACCTTTTTGTAACTCATTTTTCACAGCAGCTTTAAATATTGATACGTACCTTAAATTAAAAAGAAGCCCAAGTGTTCAGCATTTTTTATTTAAATAATTTCTAATAGTGAAAATGCACTGAGTTTCAGCAAATTAAATCTTTTGTACTTATGTAAGGGAGTTGCCATCAAACATTACCAAATTACCAATACATAGTGAGGTTTTAGTGTCCAGGGCAGCCCCATGTTCAAGGGTAGAGAAATCTACTAATGGTTCAGATCAGAGTCTGTGTGGAAGTGGGTATGCATACTAGCGAACTTAATAAGCTCGGCATTAAAGTACCTTAAAACAACCATGCCTTGGATACAATGATACCTGGACACTATTCTCCAGAAGTGCCATTTGGGATGCTCTTTATTGGGAAAGAGAACCAACTCATTCCTCTTCTCCTACTCCCTTAGTACTGGGCTATTCCATTTTCCTAGTTATACTACTGCCCTGAAAGCTGTATCTTAGGATTTACAATATATATTATTCCTGAAAGTTATACTGAGATCAAATTTTTAAAAAATCAAATCATATTTTAAATGCATCAAGGGAGTATTTTATTTAAGTGAATTCTATGGTAAATCCTTTCTTAAAGTCATTATTTGCCCTTCTCCAATTAGTCTTTTTTTTAAAATCTGGCCATTCATATTTGATTTAAATGCTATGCATCTGTTTTTGTGGGATTTTAGTGTTACTAGTGTTATAAATGTACAGTATTACTGAAATAGCCAAATTTTTTTTAAAAAATGAATTGTTCTGATAAAATGAACAAATTTTTAACATGAAAAGGAGCAAAATATTTCAAATTTTAAACAATTTGTGGATTCAGTAGGGAAAAAAAGTTAGAAACAGTACAACTGCAAGAAATGGCCTATCTGGTTACCTCAGATCTGAATCATATGATTCAAAATGTATCATTAAGAAAAAACCAGAAACTATGCCCAAAGGGCTACAAAAATGTACGTATCCTTTGACCCAGCAATAGTACTTCTAGGGCTGTATCCCAAAGAGATCATAAAAATGGGAAAAGGATCCACATGTATAAAAATATTTATAGCAGCTCTTTTTGTGGTGGCAAAGAATTGGAAATTGAGGGAATGCCCATCAATTGGGGAATGGCTGAATAAATTGTGGTATATGAATGTAATGGAATACTATTGTGCTATAAGAAATGAGAAGCAGGCAGACTTCAGAAAAACCTGGAAAGACTTGTATGAACTGATGCTGAGTGAAGTGAGCAGAACCAGGAGAAGGTTGTACATAGTAACAGCCACATTGTGTGAGTACTAATATTTATAGACTTAGCTCTTCTCAGCAATGCAAGGATCTGAGACATCTCCAAAGGTCTCATGATGGAAAATGTTATCCACATCCGAAGAAAGAACTATGTAGTCTGAATGCAGATCGAAGCATACTATTTGCTATTTTTTTCTTCTTTGTTTCCTCTTTCTGGTGGTTCCTCCTATTGGTTCTAATTCTTCCTTACAACATTACTAATGTGAAAATATGTTTAATAGGAATGTATATGTATAGACTATATCAAGCTGTGTGCCATCTTGGGGAGGAAGCGGGAGAAAAATTTAAAACTCAAAAGCTTATGGAAGTGATTGTTAATAAATCAAAATAAATTTTAAAAAATTAAAAAAAAAACAGATAAACAAGTATCTATGGAAATGTCCATATGATGTTTTCTTTATGATGGTTCCCCTGACTTCTCCAGTCAGCAATGACCTGGACCATTGCTTATAATATAGGAATGATGGGCTCTTGAACCCAACAAAGGTCAGTAAGAATGTGTTTTCCTACATGATGAAAATCTAATGAAAAGTGTTTTAAACTGAAAGGGAAAGACTTGAAAAAGAAAACTGCCTACACACACACACACACACACACACACACACACACACACAAAACTAAATCCCAAAGAGAGTGGCTAAAATGTAAGAAAAAATAGCAGTAGAGGGTACCTAGAATTTTCAGGAGACATTATCTAAGAAAGGAGCTAGCAATGATATCCACAGCTTCAGGGGTTTACCCACAATTGGTAACAAATTACATTAACTAGTTACTTAACCCAAGAAAGAAAATTTCACCTCACAGATATCACTGAGACTCAGTAAACCTCTGAGTGGAATACAGATCTGGCACAAAACAAGCAAAAGGCTCTGTGTGTGTGTGTGTGTGTGTGTGTGTGTGTGTGTGTGTGTGTGTGTTTTGGGGTGGGGTGTGGGGAGGAGATGATTAGAGTAGCAAACTGCTGAGAACATATACTCATGTGATAAAATCCAGGAGCCAGAGAGGGGAAAAACGGTAACAGGCATTCGGGTGAAGATTTAAAAATACAGAAATTGAAGCAATATAAGCACTGGAGTTTATTATAGAACACTCAGACAGAAAGAGAAAATAAATGATGTATTTTGGAACAGATTACAAGCCTGGAAGAGAAGCATGATAAAACAGTGATTGGCAACCTTCAATTATCTACACATCTGTTGGAATACTATCCCTAATCAAAAAAGAGCAGTTGACAATTAAAAAAATATAAATTTAATATTGAACATTGATATAACTTAATTTGACCTATAATTATTTACATGTAATTAATTTTAATGTATAAAATGTCATAAATTTTTACTCACTTTTAAATCTCTATTAAGATTTTTTTTTTCATTCATTATCGCTTTTCCTTGCCTACAGTTGAAATAAGCATGGACTCCGCTCCCTGGTTTCTTTTCTCTTGGCAGTATTTCCTAAAGGGCTTTACAGGTTTTTAAATATTCATGATGCCTGTTCTTAATTGCATTAATTTTGTTACATTAATGTACCACAATTTAACCACCTCCTTATTTTTGTACACTGAGGTTGCTTCCAATTATCTGCAATTACAAATATTGCTATTATGAAAACATTTGAAAAGACAGCCCTTTTTAAAAAAATATTTTATGGTATAATATTTTCAAATTCCTCAGAAGGTATCATTATTTTTGTAACTTTTACTGCATACTGCTGGATTGCTCTCTACAACAAACCAAAAGTGAGTTTCTTTGCTTTAAACTTTTTTGTGCGTATGTGTGTGCCAATTTGATAAGAATGAGGCTAAACACAATTTAAATTTAAATTTCTGATTATTCATAAGGAATAAGGTTGAATTTTTTTCAAGTGATTATTAACAATATGTTGCCTCTTATGAAAACTGTTCATGTAATTTGATCATTTATATATCATGAATTGGGAGTTTCCTTTTAAAATTTTAAATAGTTCTTTATATATTTTGGATGTAAAGTTTTGTTAAATTTGTTAAAATTTCTCCCAATCTCTTATTTTTAACTACATTATTTTTTGGAACAGATTTTCATGCAGTCAGGTCCTAGTAATTCCTTCTAAATATTTCTAGGGAAAAGTCAGTTCTTTTCTGCAACTGAGCTAAATATTATACCATCTTTTTTATAGTTTCAAAAATATTTAAATCTATTATCCAACTGGAACTTGCTGAAGCATACTAAGTAAAAAGTGGATCTAAATCTATGGCAAAATTATCAACCAATTTCTCCCAAATATATTTGTCAAATAAAGAATTCTTTCCCCAGGTTTTGTTTTTTATAGGTTGGTCAAACATTAATCTTTTGTTTACATTTGGTTAGATGTCTTGTGTATGTAATTTGATTTCATTGATCGATTTCTCTATTTTTCGCTCAGTTCCAGAGTGTTCTGTTGGTATATTTTTGGAAATATAACTTTGTAATAGTTTGTAAATATAATTTAAAGAATGGGAATACAAGACCATTTTCTGATTCTCACCATCACTGGTTGCTGAAGTGAAAATGATGGAAATCTTGGGGGTAAATGACTACCACTCCATTGAGAATTAATAAGAGAGGAAAGATGAAAGCCAGTGACAAGTCTGACTTATGCCCTAGATTTCTGGAAGACAAACTTCAAAGGGTTCAAGGAAAAGAGAAGTAGGACTTCATGGCCTAAAATTCTACAGGGAAAATCAATCCAGGAGAGAAGGACAGCTCTCAGAAATGGGATTTTGGAGCTACAAAGACAAATAATGCTACTAGAAGGGAAAAAGCCTAGTTGTCTAAAGAGAATAATGTGAATATACAAATACTTTATTGATCACCTTTGCTTTAAAAAGACACATACTTCTCTTGACTTACAAGCAAGTGAGGACAGGTAAAAGAGAATGAATGACCACATATGGCATGATCCTGGATAGCTCCAGGAACACTAAACCTTAGAATGAGCTGAAGTCAGTAAAGAAAGCTAAGAACTACAAAAAGCAGAGTAATTTTTAAAAAGCTATTTTGGGGAAACGAAGAGGTTTGAAGGAGTGATTGCTATTTGGGGTTTGTGTTGGGATGATGCTGATATTGGAGAAGAGGAAGAATTACTCAGCTTTTAAAAATTCTTCTTTTTTTTTTTTTTTTGCTGCCAAGGAGAAACATAGTTAATAAGAGTTAAAACTCAAGGTAAAAAGGGAAAAAGTAAAAAAAAAAAAAAAAAAAAAAAAAAGTACCTAGCAGCCATTGACAAGTCTGGTTGGTATTTCTGCCTCAAGTCTCTCCCTACTGCCATACACCACTAGGCTGCCAGACATTTTTCTCAAGTGTGGATGTGACCATGTTGCTCCTTAGCTCCTTATTATTACCTCTAAGATTAAATATAAACTCTCTGTTTGACTTTTAAAGATCTTTCTAACCTGGCTCCTTTCTACCTTCCCTGCCTTATAGTCTACTCCCTACTATTAACTCTCTGATCCAGCACTGCTGGCCTCTTTATAGTTCAGCATCTCCTCCTCCTCCTCCTCCTTTCTCTGGGCTGTTTGTTGCCTGGAATGCTTTGTCCTCTCACCTGCCTCTCAATTGCTTCAAAACTCAATAGAAGTCTACCTTCCTCTGCTGGCCTTTCCCGGTCACTGCCCTTGCTGGTAACCAGTGCCTCTCAGATTGCCTCCCATCTGCTCCATGTCTTTATCTACATGGTGTCCATGTACCACTGCACTCTGTCTGTCTATAT